GTAAGCTCGAGGATACCTGTTGAGTGATCCGAGAAATGAAGGCGGGACCATTATCTGACTGAATACTCTGAGGTAGACCAAACCTTGGAATGATTTCTTGTAATATGACTTTGGTAACTACATCAGCAGTTTCCCTGGTTGTGGGAAAGGCTTCTATCCATCCTGAAAAGGTGCAAACAAAAGTGAGAAGATATTTGAGAGTCTTGTGGTGGGGCATGTGTGTAAAATCTATCTGCCAGTCCTGACCAGGGGTATATGAAAGAGTTGCCGGCCCAGATGGAACACTGTAACCAGAAAAGGCTGCAGCTAAACTCCTCCCCCCCTGCCCCCCATGCACTTGATTGTAACCCTATATCCCCATCCTTAAGGACCTGTGCGCCAATGAGATACCTGTGCATCTCTAATGGCATTAGGGTGCTGCCCTAAGCTTAGGCTATTTAGATTCCCCCACGCCACGTGTCCGAGAGAGACCTCCAGATTCCAGTGGCCAGTACGCCGGTCTCCTTTCCCGTGTTCCCGGAATAAAGGCCTCTTTTGTCTTATACTCCTCAACTTTTGGAAGCATCTTTTATCCTTTGGAGACAGACCTATCACTCTCCAATGTGTTATTTTCCTATTATTGTTATTCCATCCCAGTGGGCATAAACTACTGTCATGGTTATGAGCTGCATTTTCCTAAAGATTAATGTTTACCATTTCTTCATGTGCTTACTGACCATCAGTATGTTTCTCAGAAATGTCCATTCAAATCCTTTGCCCCCTTTTAAAGTGAGTTGTCTTTTAAATTATTTATGCATTTGGATTCTAGACCCTAATCGGATATATAATTGGAGGATATTTTCTCCCATCTGTAGGTGTCTTCACTTTCTCAGTTATTAATTTTGATGTCATCCAACTTATCTTTTATTTGGCTTCTTGTATTTCTGGTGTCACACCCAAAAAAATCATCACTGAATTCACATGTGAATATAATTTTAGAACTAGAGTTTCAGATTTTCTTTTCTCTCAAATGGAAGACAGTCATAAACACGAAGTTCTCTTTATAGTTTTAAGTGAGTCAGAGCCTCTATTTGGTGTTGAAAAATTACTTTTACTGGGGGACAGGAATGAGGTATTAAAAATTATTCATAAATTATTTCCTAATTGATAGCTTATATAATTGTATTAAATAACTTCTATCTATTATTGTATTAACCATAATTATTCTGAAATTTAAAAATCAGTGTTGTGTTCTGAATAAAAGTTTGGAATTCATGATTAAGAGAAATATACTCAAAGAAGGGACACATTAACATGTGACAGTAAGTGTTGAGGTGACTTCTCTAAGCCTGTTCACTTGGTAGCATATGGAATCATACTCTACCTCTAGCCAAGTCTCCAAAAATCTGGGAATAGAAAGAAACCTTCATTTCATATCTTATTTCAAATTATGTAAATGTACACCTGAAAGCTTAAGACATGGTTTAGCTGTTGTTAGATCAGACCTCTAATCCATTTGGATTTTTGGTTCAGGTTATTTTATTGCAGAACTTATATTTGGGGATTTCAGGGCCATGGGCCTCTTGAAGCCCATTCTTATTTCACCACAATCCATTGCATATCCTCCTAGGAGAATTTTAAATATGCAAACTACCACTTCTGATTCATACAGCTCAATTCTACAGGACACTATTTGACATAAAGTTATTGTGGATCCATAGGGTTGATTTTTCAGACTAGCAAGTGAGTGTCTCGGATAAAGTGTCCCTTAGAGAGTTCACCAAAGGCGCAGCTGTAGGGTGGTGGATGGGTATTCTTACATCTTCCATATGGTACTTTGGCATTGTATGTAACAGGTGTGAAGCTCTGGGGTATCAATCTGAGTTCCTAGGTTATTTTCGGTAGCTTCCAGCTCTACCATATTTACATGCATTGCCTATGTGACAATAAAACCTGTATGTTTAAACAGACATAAACCAATCAATGGCCTACACAGAACTCTTGTTCACTGTGTCTGAAGTAAACCTAATGGCATGAATGCTCATTATAAATAACTATTTAAAATATACTGATTCCTCAATAGAAAAATATAAAAAGCAAATCTCAGAAGAAATTCAAATGGCCATTAAAGAAAAATTCAATTTTACTAGTAATGCAATAAATGTAAAAATAAGGCAGAGATATTTTTTATTTACTAGACTGGCCAAAATAATAGAGCTGGCAAGATGACATTCATAACCTGTTGATGAGAATGGAAACTGGTATGAGCTTTTTTGGCAATAGTCAAAATGTCAAATGTACATTTCTTTTGATTCAGACATTGCATTTCTAGGACGTTACTCAACTGAGCAGAAATACATAAGCAGGCAAAGTTTTGTATACAACAATGTTTACTGCAGTTTCACCGTCAGTACTAAGATACTACAAAGATTCGTTATATCACGGCTGCCTTGATGTTCTGAACTGATTTAAAATTACCTTGCGGTCAGTTTGATTTTGAGGAGGAATGAGAAGTTATAAGATACCAGAGATTCAGTGAATAAGGTGGAGAAGACACACCTTATGCTTTTAGGAGCTTGCCTTTCCATTAGATGGCACTTGGCAATAGCATTTGCTGTATTTTTTATGACACCTTGTATAAAGACACTCATGAAAGAGAATTTTCGGAACTGCGACAGCAAGAATGACAGGATAAATGTGCTTCAAGTGAGGGGAAGTATTCTGAGGGGAATTAATGACAATGTCTTTTACTCTAATAAATTTTAAAAACCTAAACACACACCCTACTTTTCTTTTTTTCTTTTGTCTTTTTCATTTTTATCAGTACCAGGGATCGAACTCACGACCGCCTGCTTGCAAGGCAGGTGCTTATGCCGCTGAGCTAAATCCCCAACCCCAACACACCCTACTTTTCAATCGCCATTTGTATTTCCATTGTGTAGTAACCGCATGTTTAACATATGCTTAATAACCTGTTCTCAGGGTACCAGACATTGTTCTTTCAGTCCAAGTGATCTTCAGCATACCCAAAACTCATGAATTATGGTCCACTTCATAGTCAGAAGCCCAGGAAACTAGAGATAAGATTATTTTGGACTTAATACAGCTGATATCTATAACTGACTAATGACAGATATAGGGCAATGATACATGTTTAAGTTCTTAGCCACAAAATATGCACTGGAGAAAAGACCTTATTTTGTTGACAACTCTGACATAAAAGCATGGAAAGTCCTGACGAATGGCACTCTTTTTTTGTAGGATTCCCTGAGCAGTTCTTTGTGTTTGAAAAGATGCTAGCTTTCATCTAAACAGAATCCAGAGAATCCAGCCTCCCCAGGGAGCTTACATAGTTTACCAAACTCATGAAGAACACAACAACAAAAAAAATCACATTTACAGAATAATTTCTGTTTCTGGCATTGCTATGTCCTTCCACAGAGAGGAGGACACTATTTAAAATTCAGAAGGCGGCTCATGCCTGTTTCTTCCCCTTCGAGGACATCACATCCTATCCATACTTCCATTTCCTAGCCGAGAAATGGGAGCTCTAATAATATCTCTGCCAACTTCCTTCTCAGCTAATGGTAAAGCCACAGTGTGGTCATACTGGATGAAGACCTTTCAAAGGGGTGAAGTCCTCAAAGAATGGGAAAGTATTTTAGTATGAATGTCACAATTATTTTGAAAGTGGGAGACTTTCAAAGATGAGCCCACATTGGTAGGCTTTTTCTTCCTTAATTTTAAGAAAACTAGATCTGCTTTAGCGGAGCTTTATCTTATTTTTAAGAACTTTTAAAACATCAGTACTTTAATTTTTATTGTATATTGCTGGCCACTTCTGCCATAAAGTGAGCTGGATACAATTTTTCTACACTAGCATAGATTTTTACAAAAATAATAATGTTAAAGGCCAGAAAATTAAATAACTGTATGACAGACTGATGAAATTTTTCCCATCATCTGCAATACTAATATGAAACATTCTAAAATTTAATAAAGAGACTAAGAGACAGGTATTTTGCAGACAGGAAAACCTTTTATTTTAAACTACAAATAGTCAGCAGGTGGCCACAACTATCCATGTTTCATTAAAATCACATAAAACCTAGGTACAAAAGCACCACTGATTATTGCTCTAGAAAAAGTGCATGAAAAATTCAAATATGCACAGTAAAAACACCACATTATGCACAGGACTAAATTCTTAAAGCAGGTGCATGGACTGCTCAATCAGGTTTATACACAACTTCCAATATTAAGATGGTATTTATTTTACTTGATAATGATGAAAACTTCCCAACAGCATGACTATGAGAGAGTAAAATGTCCATCCTTATATATTTTGTATGCCAACTAGTAGAGTCCTAAAAAATTACCCTTTACAAAATACTTGGTAAAAATAGCTTTTAAAAGGTTTCCCAAGAGGTACATAAAATCACCCCCAACTTTTTGTGACAATTCATTCTCCCTTGTTATCTACAGATTCAGTTTTCTGTGCCTGTGAAAAATAAAAAGATATAGTTATTACTAAAACTACAATAATAATAATAATAAAAAGTCTACCCACCAGTGCACACACTTCTAATATGTGTTATTTGGTAGCTCTACTGCAAACCTACTTCAGCTCTGGGTGGAGAACAGACAAGGCAGGAATGTATTATGGTGACACTGCCGCATCTTTTGTTTTCTGCTTTTCAAACAACCACAGAAGCCTTACCTGAAACTCCCCACTGTTCATAATAAAAAGCACCACACTACTATCTCATTCTAGTCACTGCAAACATGCAGAATTTTCTACTGTACCCTTAACTCTCACTGTTTCAATCTGCCCCTTTACTGACAGGGTGCTGGGTGGGGTACTTCTGGAGGCTGAGACACTAACAGCTGAGCGAGAGATGTGGATCTGCAATAACATTACAGGCAATAAAAAGAGACATTATGAACGTGCTATCGCTGGCTCAAGGATCAAGCAATTTCTTTTAGGACACTGATTCAATCAGCGGGAGACAGTTGGGAAAGTACCTCTTCAGCTTTGGTTTCACCATTTTCGGACGGTGTAGTACCTTCCTTTCCAGCTTCCTGCTTTTCTTCCTTCTTCCCTTTAGCACCTCTGTTAATCTTTGTTCCAGGTTCTTTCTAACAGAGGTATTGAAGCACAGGAAAGAACATGTTAGACACCATCTCATGATGACTAAAATCATACCCTTCAAACACAAGGTGAACCACAGAAACAGCCACAATGGAGGCCTTCAAGGACAATGGGAATCCAATTTTGCTGCGTTCTAACTGAGTTACTCTAAGTGTCTGAAAATGTAGCATGGACAATGTCACCTGTCCTGTGGACCACATCTCCTGAAGTGAGAAGCAGTCTCTGTGGAGAGGGCGGCAGAGATAAGGGGAAACCGATGAGACACCTTGCCATGCAGACATGGCTTGCATGAGTCGAAGGCTGATATAGTGCTTGAAAATGAATGACTGGATGAAAACAAAGTTCCTAATTTTAAAAGCCACAGAAATGAGTTCCACTTTTGGAATCACTTATAACATTCGCAGTTTTAAACAGTTCACAACAGAGATGATGCTCTGGAGGGCAGAGTGCAGAAAAGTCATTTTGGGTACAATTCCCAATTATTATGTATTTCAGTATGCAAAACAGGTTTTTTGTAACGTATTTCAACGGTTTGACATGAGGATTGCATGAGAAAAGCAATCTGGATAGTGGCACAATGTAAGGATTAGTATTACTGCTGGTATTAATGGCTATATTGCTATCATTAACCATCAGACTGGCCCTCTACATGAGGTCCAAAGGCCCTTGCCACATCCTGTACTGGTGGCCATAGCACTGCGAGGGTCCAGCCCTAGTCCACCCAAGCTGGTACCAGCACCCCTGTGGACATGGGGGTTCTCATAGTAACTTGTTTCAGCTGTGCCTCACAGACCCAATGGAAAATACTCCTGCTAACTCATAAAAATGCCTTATGCTTTTTAAGAAAACCCAAAACAGTAGTAATGATTATTTATTTATTTATTTAGTTTTGAGGCAGGGTCTCGCTATGCAGTTCAGGCTGACCCTGGACACACTACGTAGCCCAGGCTGGCCTTGAACTCATGGCATTACTCTTGCCTTAGCCTCCTGAGTGCTGGGATTACAGGCATGTACCACCCACAACTGGTTGTGGTACTACTTTTTTTAACCCAAATGATTAAACATGGTCTTTTCTTGGATGAGTTTTGGGTATGGCATTATAATTTACTCATTGTTTATTTTTTAAAATTTCTTTTAGTATGGGGATCGAACTCATGCCCACACACTTGCAAGGGAGGTGCTTATGCCGCTGAGCTAAATCCCTGGCCCTATTCATTGTTTAAAAAGCAAACGATGGGAGGAGAAAGGGAGTATCTCTTACCTTAATAGCTGTTTTTCTTGGTTTAGGTTCAGGTTTTGGTGGAGCAGGTTTCTACAAAGATAATGTGAATTATACAAATACAGACAAGGACAATTATCAACACCAAGAGGAACATAAAAGGCAAAAGACAGCTCTATTCTGAGACTGTTTACTCAAAGCCCATCTCAGCCTATATTCAGCATCAGGCAGCAGATAAAGATGGCAGAATTTCATAATTCTCTTCATTCTGCATTTGCAGGTTAATGCCAGGTGCTACGGAAAAACTAACTTGTGATTCCCCGATCCAGAATACAGTAGCTCTGGGGACAGGTTTAAATTTCCATCACTGCTGTTTCTGTTCTTCCTTTTATTACAGTACAGCGGGAATGACTTAGGCCTCTCTGGTCAAAGCACTCCAATGATTTTTGGTTGCATTGGTCTTCTCAAAAGTCTAGAACTCACAGCACAATCACAAGCAAGGCACATCTGGTAATGAAGACTACTGTTTAGGAAGTAGCTAAAAACCACTTCTAAGTCCTTCCTTGTAACACACACATCTTAGACTCTTTAGGCAACCTTCTTTCTGTTTTCTTCCTCTCCAACACTAGCTGAAGATGAGAATCTTGCCCATCCAGACACTGGGCTCATTTATCTCTAGTGCTCTTTATTCAATTATAGTGACAAGTCAGGCATGGTGATGCACGCCTGAAATCTCAGCACTTGGGAGACTGAGGTAGGAGGATCACTGCAAGTTCCAGGCCAGTGAGTTTAAGGCCACTGAACTACATAGTGAGACACCGTCTAAAAACAACCACCACAAAAACCCCCTAAAAATGATTATAGTGACAACATGTCCACTGTTAGCTCTTAAAGTTTAAGATTTTACAGATATTATTGGCTAAAGAGCCCCTTAAGAAACTGTCTTTCTCTTGTCTCAAGTGGTCCTCCTCCCATTCCCGGGAGCCAAACCCTGTGGCTGTGGTCCTCCCTCCAGAACTTCAGACCTGGTCACCAGGTGACTGAGACCAGGTGGCACCTTGAAGATGTGGGAAACACAACCAGTTTAAACCATGGATTTTTGGTAAGTATTTTAAGGCAAACGTTTCTGTTAAGGCGCGAGGGGAAAAAAAAATGTACATCTCTTCCAATGTTAGAAAGTTGGTTTTTAAATAGAAAACACTGGTCAGAGTCTCCTCTTGTGGAGAAAAATGCATGGTTCTCCCCAGTGCCTCTAAAGGGTTCAGGTTCTTTTTGAATCTGGCCCTTTTCATACAGTGAAACCATAGACAGTTTAATTCTAGAGGATCCACTGTTAAAGATTACCTTTCAAATAAAAAAACTGAAGGAATGCTTTTTGTTAATCTTCTTGAATCCTAAATCTGTAGTTCATTTCCTAAATATGGCAGCTTTTATGGCTCTAAATTTTCATGATTTAAAAAATTTTATTTCTAGTTCTGCCATATTATAGTAATATACATGTGTTTTTCATTTACAGAAAATAAAATCTTTTTATATTACTTCCTGCGAGACAGACTTTACACCCTGACTCAGTAGTCAGTGTTTTGATGAAACCAAGAAAGGAGATTTTAATGGTCTATAATCCTGCTGCCTCAGAATGATCTCAGTGGAAAGGACCTATACTGCTGGTTTCTGGTGCTCGGGAAAAGTCTTAAATTTTGGTTTACCCATGACTTACAAGGGAAATTCCTTTAATTGGCTAGATACTACCAGTTCTAAGCCTTCATGGTGACCCTGACATTGTTTCCCTAAGAGACTCATGTAAGTAACACTGGCTCCACCCAACCCAACTTCGAATTTGAGAAAGGTCTTAATACTCACTTCTGAGTACCACACGTGGGCTAAAAATGGAATCCTCACTGTAATACCCAGTATGGGCAGCTGGGGTTGCATGAATTTTACCAAAATGTTTTTTTTACCAGTCATGCTGGTTTGCTCAGAAGAGCACAAGTACGAGCAAAGAGCACTGAAGGCAGGCAAGAGAGCGCTAGAGTGGGGTCTCAGCGGAGCCCTGGCCACACCTGTCCATCCCAGCTCTAATTCTAATTCTCTCCCTTGAACATCAGCCACAGGAGAAGATGCCAAGAGACAAAGGTAAAATGACTACTTTTTCAAAGACACTTTCAGTCTAAATTTAAGCTAAAGCATATGGATTCAGACAGCTTTCTGAACATTTGATAATGGAGTAAAACATTCTAACTTATAATGTATGGATAGAAAATCATAATCTGCCCACTGCAGCATATCACATACATGGTCTAAAGAGTCAGACTTTGCTTAATGGACCTTTTTTGCTTTGGATGTCCAGCAACAGCAAATGACAGCCTGGACCTCATGTTCTTGGCAGTGGGGCTGGCTGCTATTTTTCACTGACATATCTGATTCAAGTGACTTGCTTGGCAACATGGGTCGGATTTGCTAGAAGTTGTGACTCCAGAAAATTTTCAAAGGGAAAATGGACTCAAAGGAAATGCCAACTTAATCTTCCTTTTGCTGCTTCCCTCTGTAAGAAGGGAACATGCATGTGATGCAAAGGGGCTCAAGGCACTTACCGTGGACAACCTGGCAGATCGTCTCGTGGGCTACAAAAGGAATGGAGAGAAATGTTTTTGTAATTAAACCCAACTAAACTGATTTCTAAAATTAATTCTTATTATACCATAATGTACGACTCCCATCACCTTTTGGCAGCATAGTGAAACACATCCCAAGTTCCCTAGGCAAAGCGCCCCCCCTTCCCCGCTGCCTTTTTCAGGGCTAGGAATGGAACCCAGGATGACCTTGCTAAAAAGTTGCCTAGGTTGGCCTAGAATCTGTGATCCTTCTGCCTCACTGAGCTTTCTGAGGAGCTGGAATCACAGTGGGGGCACCACTGTACTCAGGTCAGCAAGTGTTTCTAAAGAGGCATAAATTGTTCAAATAAGTGGTCTCTACCAGTTAAGGGTGTGATGGGTAAGAAAAGGAAAGGAAGATGAATTCTGGCACTACACTAAACTGTAAGTTTCCTTTGTGACAAAATATTACAGTGGAAACACTGAGGTCATTTAAAAAATGGTCTCCGGTGTGATTCTTATAAAAAACTAGACTAACTTTTGTAAGTTAATAAAAGAAGAAACACACACATAGAAATCAAAAGAGTTTCTCAAGTTACTGCTACATTGGAATAGAATGACAAAAAAAAATCTTACATAGTTAATAAGACCTCTTTTTACCTATAACAATATAAACACTGACGTTTTAGGCACATGTTTAAAGATTTAACCAGAGTAAAAGGTTCATTAACCTTTTAATTTAAAAGTTTAGAAAACAGAGAAAGTACAGAGATTAGATATTAGTATTTTCTTCAACGATGGTACAAATTAATAGCAAAGGAGACTATAAAGAAAATACAGAAGAAGTGTCTTAGGCACTTTAGCAGAGGCATTTAAACTGATAGTCTACTACTTCCCACCCAGCAGGGGTTGGCCGCCCAAGGGACTCACATCCCAAACCAACAATTACTTTTCTTTACAGATGTTTCAGAAATAAATACCCTACACATTTGTTTGTTTTACTTACTGCTGTATTTCCAGTAGAATACTGTACTATCCAATATGTGGTACATGCTCAATAGTATTTGCTGAATACATGAATTCAAGCTTTTGTGTAATTCCTACTGCTATATGTAGACTGTGCCTCATTACAACAGCTTAAATGTTTGAAATGCTTTTCTTAAAAGGATCAGCAAAATTGGTTAGTGAGAACCTGTGACATGACTGTGAGGAATTGTGAAAATTCCTGAAATCATACTTAGATCATTTGGTCAAGCCAAATATTTCTATTTCCACAACTAGGAATTTTTTTATACCCTAAAAAAAAAAAAAAAAAAAAAAAAAAAAGAAAGAAACAGGCAGAGTAGATCAGGAGGTATGGTTCACCGAGATGCTCTGTATGGGAAATATAATTAACCTGAAAAAGTGTTTATGGACCAAAAATCAATATGAGAAAACAATGCTCTACATGACAGGGAACCAGAGTGTAATATGGGCAACTTGACCAGCATCTGCAGATAGGTTGGAAAGACAGGGTTTTGCAGGTAAAGGAATACAACCTGAGACTAAGACCAGGAGTGAGAAGGTTTAGAACCACTTAGGTAAATAGTAGGTGGCCCTCCAAATCTAAAAACTGAGGGAGTTGGTGGAACCCAAAATGCATAGTGCACCCTATAGGAGTGAAAGGGGAGGAACAGTCTAAAAAAGGCAGCAGATATTGTTAAGAATGTACCAGGATTTAAAATCCACATTACTCACACTACTCTGTTTAGATAGATTATATTCTGCTTCAGCTTGTCTACTTGCACTAGATTTGAGGGCACAGAAAGCTATACCCAAAATAGCAGGATATAGTAATCATCCTTAACTTCCAATTAACTTAATCTGAAGCCCTATATAACTTATACTGTTTTTACCATGAATGATCTTAGTTGAATCTGGTTTGTCAGATTGCTGTTTGGTATTGACAGATTTTATTCAAATCTGTTATGATTGATAGTATCAAGTCTGAGAGTGTAGGCAACTACACTGAAGATGACAAGATTCATTAGGAACCCATTCTGGTTTGATTATTACCTGCTTTGAAGTTTTACACTATCTACAATGTTCTGTTTTTATCAATATTGTTATGTACTGCTATATTCAATTATACTATGCCTGACAATATAGACAATTCTATTGAAGATAACAAGAGACAACACAGTAACCATTGTAGATCACCTTGTACTGTGGTTTTATATGACTTTTTCATTTCATGTTTTTACAGGAATATGTTTTGTTTTGTCTTGCTTCTCCCTCTAATACAGAAAGGACAGAAATACATGTAGAGACTCATGCATGCATAGAACTATACACAGTTTATGAGAACTGATCATATAATGCATGATGAATGAACAATTACTTTTAAGAAAAAAGAGACACTATAGTACCCAGTGCTGATCCTGTAGCATCATGATGTGAAATCTAGCAATACTGTTATTCTTTGTTCAGAGTGATTTTAGCCTGTTTTGTTTATCTTAACATACATGAAGGAATGAACAGCTATTTTGAAGAGAATGAGAGACACAATGACAGCCATTGGTGACTTCCCTGTTGTCTCACCTTGAAGACATAAAATACCTTCCTCATCTTGTTTAGATCAGTTCTATAGTATGTTGTTTCATGTGAATTCTCTGTATGTGAAGATACGGTCAACTATTTGTGTCGATGTCCGCTCCCGGCCGGCAGGAAGGACACACGACAAAGTCTGGTAGTGGACAACCTTTTCTTTTTATTCTTCTTCTCCGTACAGCCTGCCCTGGGTTCTCCCAGCTGAAGCCTCCTTTGGTCCGCTCTCCGCGGCTCCTTTTGGGCTTCTACTTCCGGGCTTCTATCTGGCTTCTACTTCCTCCCAGGGGTGGCACCGGTATATATACGGATACAGTGTCCAATCATGTTAAAGTAAGCAAGGCAAGCTGATTGGCTAACATCATCAGTTGCTAGGCAGACTATATTGTTGAGCGGGTTGTTTACGCGGTAAGCAGGAAACTAGCATATTCGATGGGAGGGGTAATCTACCTCAGGCCTCACTCTTTACTACAGGCCTCACGTCCGCCAAGTGAGGCGACCGGGCTCGGGGCTGCGGCTCCCAACATCTCCCCCTTTTTTATTTTTTATGAATGTGCGCATCGTAGCCCTTCCTGGACTGGGTGCAGAGGCTTATGCCCTATGCGTAGGCCCACCGTAGGTCCTTGGCTTAGACCCTGGTCGGCCGTCCCATGGTCTGCCAAGGCCCTGAGGCCCTCGTCCTTTTTCTAGGGCCAGGCACAAACTGGACGGAACCTGGATGCACACAAGCTTGCACTCATTTCCTCTCCGTAAAGAAATCCCCTCGGAGAGAAATTTAGACCTGGGCAGCATCTAACAGTCCAGCGGCTTACGTGCAGGATGGGGTAGGGCCTGGCTTAGGTCGAGTCGTGCTGGGGAGGCACGCTCTTACCCGTCATTGACTCATCTACCCTGCTGTGTATTGTCACCTTATGGAGGAGAATGAAGGATGCCCGCCATATCTAGACTCGGTCGTGGGCCAATCGAGCAAGCCATGCATATGCCTGAGGATCTTTTTGTCCATTTCGGGCTACCGCTATTTCTATTCATCTTGTTGGTTGGTCTGTGATGGATCTCCAGTAGGGCAGGTCTGATCTTCAGTCGAGGGCTTTGTTGCCCGTGTCAGTCTCTCCGGTATCCACAGTGGTTCTCGTCCCAGTTCCTGTGGGAAAACACAAACCGCGCCTCGGTTCCAGCTGATTACCGGATCCGGGCCCATCCATTGTCCTGTCAGGACATCTTTCCACTTCACCCACCCTTTATGGTTGGGGGAAGGGTTGCAGTGCTCCACAGCTGGGGAGCGATTATCATTATTTAAATTTAAAAAATTGTGTGTGAATAGTGCCATGGATAATCGTGCCTTTGGGGCCAGGCCTTGGCCTACTCCCCCTTTTTGTTTTTGTAAAATTTCTTTGAGGCTTCTATGAGCCCTCTCAATGATTCCTTGACCTTGGGGATTGTATGGGATACCATGTTTTAATTGAACCTCCATCATTTTGCAGAACTCATTGAAAGCTTTGCCTATATAGGCTGGTCCATTATCAGTTTTTAATATTTTTGGTTTGCCCCATGCGGCCCAAGCCGCCAGGCAATGATTGATCACATTAGACACTTTTTCACCTGTTTCTGCTGTTGCAAATATGACGCGAGAACAGGTGTCTGTGGAAACATGAACATATTTAAGAGTCCCAAACTCCTGTATATGTGTGATGTCCATCTGCCAAACATCACCAGGGATCAAACCTCGAGGGTTTACTCCCCCTTTTTGTTTTTTATTTTTTATTTTTATCTTTTTCGTTTTTTTTTTTTTTTTTTTTTATTTTATTTTTTTTTTTTTTTTTTTTTTTTTTTAGTGGTACCAGGGATCGAACTAACAACTGCACACTTGCAAGGCAGGCGCTTAAGCCGCTGAGCTAAATCCCCAGCCCCTTTTTTCCTCGACCGGCGTTTTTCTCAGCCTGCTCGGCAGAGTAGCCGCCCATGAAAATACCGTCTGCCCAGCGGCGCGACGTCATAAGACTGCGGTCGCGACAGAGTGAAACGGGGCGTCACTTCCTGTGCCGGCTGAGGGAAGGGAGGGTTTCCTGTGGCGGCCTCTCGGCGGGGAGCCGCTTTTAGAAAAGAGCTCCAGGGCGGAGCGGATGGCTCTCTATCTCCTCCCCGCCAGAGAGCGCCGGGGAACCGAGTCTGACCATCAGCGCGCCGACCCTCTCCCACAAGCATTCTCTTGTTCCACCCCCGGTCTCCCCGATTGGCGTTTCTCTCAGCCTGCTCTGCAGAGGACTCTGCATACCAGGCTCGCCAATCCAGGTAACTGCCCGAGGGCAGACACGCCCCCGCCAGCTGAATCCAGTCCGCGGGGGTGAGGGGCCCAGAAGACAGATTCTCCAGCATGGCAATGGTGTAAGGCGCAGTCGGCCCAAAGGTTGTAACTGCATTTTTAAGTTCTCTAATCTGCTTTATCTCAAAAGGCTCCCATACATTGCGTCCCTGGCCCATAGCTACTTGTACAGGAAATATCTCGTAGGGGCCACTATCTATCCCAGGTGGATGTACCTCATGAGACAAGCGTCCCCCCTGCCAAAGCCGCCTGTAAAAATACCGACCTGCCGGCGGCGGAGCATAAGACAGCGGCCGTGATTGGGCGGAAAATGGGGGCCCGTGCATCACTTCCTGTTCTGGCGAAGAGGAAGGGAGCTCCCGGGCGGCCGCCCCGCGGCGAGGGATCGCCTCCGGAAACGGCCCCCAAGGTGGGGCGGAAGGCTTCGCCTCCCTCTCGCGCCGGGGCGCACTCAGGAGCTCTCTACTCTTCCGCAGACCCGACTCCTTATGGAGCGACTTAGGCTCCTGACAGCTAGTCTCTTTGGCCTCCCTGCCATTCAACTTTCCCTCGTCCTCGGAGTCAGACGACTCCGAGGCTAGAGCCCCGTCCTCCTCCTTAGCATCCTTGTTCCCCTTGACAGACACCTCTCGGGAGCTCCCTGACTGGGCCTGCTCAGATACCCTGCATACTTTTGTAAGCTCTTGAGAGCTTTCTCCACAACCACCCTCGCTCTTAGTGCCGCTACCTAGCATGTTTCCCATTTTTTAATATGTTACTCACCGCGTGAGGCCCAAGGAATCCGCCACTTACGCGTGAGCCTGAGGGGAGTCTAAAAGCCCTGTAGGTGCGCGCCACCCAGAGCCCAGGCTTATCCCCAACTCACCTGTCTCGCAGCTCTGTACTGGAGCGTTGTCCACTGTCACGTCTCGGGGGTGATCAGTCCCCGGGCGGGCCTCCAAATGTCGATGTCCGCTCCCGGCCGGCAGGAAGGACACACGACAAAGTCTGGTAGTGGACAACCTTTTCTTTTTATTCTTCTTCTCCGTACAGCCTGCCCTGGGTTCTCCCAGCTGAAGCCTCCTTTGGTCCGCTCTCCGCGGCTCCTTTTGGGCTTCTACTTCCGGGCTTCTATCTGGCTTCTACTTCCTCCCAGGGGTGGCACCGGTATATATACGGATACAGTGTCCAATCATGTTAAAGTAAGCAAGGCAAGCTGATTGGCTAACATCATCAGTTGCTAGGCAGACTATATTGTTGAGCGGGTTGTTTACGCGGTAAGCAGGAAACTAGCATATTCGATGGGAGGGGTAATCTACCTCAGGCCTCACTCTTTACTACAGGCCTCACGTCCGCCAAGTGAGGCGACCGGGCTCGGGGCTGCGGCTCCCAACATATTTGGAACAAAACAGACAATACAATAGATAGTGAAGATCTCTGATGGTCTTGCCTTGAAATTTATGTCTCTTACATTGCTTTCTTATGTTCTGTTTTGTTATGTTCTATTGTGTTCAATTTTACCCTCTGTAAAATAAAAAAAATTTTTTTTTTTCTGAAAACAGAGAAGCTAAACTCATGTCTTTAAATTACAGAAGGAAATAATGCCTTCAGGAATAATTTTAACTTTGAGATCTCAAGCTAAGCTCACAGCTGGACTTACGGCTGGCCAGCATAATGTGCTGAGAACAGGAAACTGTGTGAGTTAAGTGGTTGACTGGGACACCTTTGCCCAGAGCAGGAGGGCATATGGTCATTTAGCATGCAGCTTGATTTAAGCCCTGTGGAACTGTAGAGGAAGAGGGCAGGCATTAGATTCTCCACAGCAAATACTACAGCCCTGCTATGAGAAGCATGATGCACCCATGAACCCTAGCAATTCAAATTTTAGAATGTTTTTCTCATTCTAGATGTAATACATCACACTAATTGCATGTAACTGAAGAAAAGGCAACATGATCACTCAAACCACATAAGTGGGAATTTTGTGCTTTTTCAATATGTGTTGAATGTGGAAGAGCAAATGTGACCCATCAATTACCAAGCAGAGCTCAGCTTCGAAGCTTCTGTGTAGCCTTCACAACCTCAAACATGTTTCATAAGAGCAGCAGGCAGGAACAGTACCCTCCGAAAGGAAAAGTGGCAGCCTGGGTTATATACGTGCACCAACTCCCTGGCAATGTAAACATTATGTACCATAAAATGTACTAATAAAATACAGAGAAGTGAAGGACCCTCATCTGACTGCCTCCCACTCAGTGGTCATTAGGTATGAACCCAGCAGGCTCTATCTCCCTGTTTATCACCTCTGACTCCTATTTGCATCCCCTACTGCATGAGGTGTGAAAAGTCCCCCAGTGGCAACACTCTTGCTCCTGTCCTCTCCTTCCTGTGACAACACCTAAACACATGAATAGGCTGAGTAACATCAGCAAGGTCTTTGGAGTCCCAAACTTCCATTCAAAGTCCCAGACATTCCAGTCAAAGCACTGCTAGGCAGGGCCTAAAAGCTGTTTGAGCCAAAGGACTTAATTCAGATTGGTATAAGAAGTCCTGTATTGATTTCATTCTTTTGTTTTGATTGGTTTTATTCTGTTTTGTTTGATTTTATTACGTCTGATAGTACGGGCAGCTATTTTGAAGAAAACAAGACACATTATGGTAGCCATAGTTGGTTTCCTATTATCTTGTTTTGAAATCCTGCATCACTTTCATTGTTCTGATTAGCTTTATTCTGTTTTGTTTGGTTTTATTCTTTTTAAAATAATATCTCTATATATATCAACTTAGTACTGAATTCTAAAACAAAAAGCATAGGAAATTAATATAAAAACAAAGTTTATCTTTGCCTCTATAAGCTGTCTAAATAAGTCCTCAAAAAGCAAATCTTTCACTGTAAAATCATTTTATGACTTCCTATATTAAAATTACTACTTTTGTTTCTATGCCATAAAAAGACTTTTCCTAACATTTCCTTTCCAGTAACCACCACAGAGATTTGCTTTTCATGCAAACAGTGAAGACCTTGACTAACCTTTCACTCAGTCAGTAGTACTGATTATGTATGCAAGTGTGGACCCTTCCTGGAAAGATCCATCAGCTTCCACAGCCTTAAAATCTATAAATATAGGACATTTATTGGATATGAAATAGGCTATACGTTATTTTCCCTCTTTGAACCACTAGGATTTAAAGTAATCATTTAAAACTCAGGTTGATTGAGTAAGACTAAGGGAGAAGATTAATTAAAAAAAAATTCCTTTAAATGTGAAATTTCAGGAAACTGCTCAAAACAATCACTCTCAAGGGGAGAAGGAAGTGACAAGTCACCATTAGAGGGACAGATAACAAGTTAGGGTTTGTCATTGTGGTTTATAGGAGGTGGATACATTAGAATTGTCCAATAAGCATTTACTGATTAACTCATCATCCCCTGTATTGGAGGAAATTCCATTGAAGGCTATGCTGAAAGACATGGCATTTCTCATTTTAAGGTCCAAGTTGCAGAAGCGGCATGCAAGTCTAATCCCACAGGGACAAGGTTCAAGGGACAGGTAGATTCAAATAGAATCACAGGACTCTGTTGAATGTTGCTTCAGACATATGGACCATTCTGCTGGAGTCTGGAAGTACTCTTATTTTTACAAGATGTTCTTTTGCTTCTGAGCCTGACCATGTAGTTACAAGCAAAACCGAAAAGTCAAGTTGCTTTTAAAAGTAAGAAGTAGCAATGTCTTTTCTAACCTAGGAAGCAGAGAAAGATACATACTACAGCACTGGCTGGACAACAGAGAAGACTAAGAAATGTAAACCAGATTCCCAGATTTTTCTGACTGCCACAAAAGGCACATTCAGGCTGAGGACTGTAGCTCAGGAGATTCCGGTATCTTTCCTAGTTCTGATACTTACAAGTTGCAACAGTTGAGAAAATCAAGTGTTTCTCCTAGGATCTAACTTGCTCTAGTTAAAACAGGGACAACATTTGCCTTTCTCTATCAAAAACAACACTTCTCTGACACTATTCCTTTTCCTTGCTTTATTTTTCTATGTAACATATATCTATTTTATTTTATTTTATTCTTACCCTTACCTACTAAATTGAGAGCTTTGCTTCTTTTGCTCACTGTGAGATTCACAGGGCCTAGAATAGTACTTGGTGCATTATAGACACTCAAGCTTTTGGTAAGAAACAAATTTGGGGTTTGGGGTATAGCTCAGTACTAGAGTATAAGGCTCTGGGTTCAATTCCTAGCACTACAAGAAAAAGAAGAAAAATGCATGAATCTTAGAATTATTGTTTGGATCAGACAAAACAATGGATGTGAAAAGGCTTTGTAAACTATTGAGAGTAATGATTGTAATATATTGTTTTGTTCATTTATTGTTCAAGTCTCCTGAAGTACTGTACTCTCTCAATGCCCTTCAAATACTATAGCAGTGGTGAAGAATTTTCAAAAAAGTCCCCCTTTAAAACTGCAATCTGTTTACCATGGTCAAGGGCATGCAAATTCAATGACACAACTGGCAAATTCAGTCTGAATTAAATTTCTTTCTTTTCTTTTTTTTTTTTTTTATCAGTACCGGGGATCGAACTCACAACTGCCTGCTTCCAAGTCAGGTGCTTATGCCACTGAGCTAAATCCTCAGCCCTGTGAATTAAATTTCAATTCAATGAAACTCAATTAATCAATGTACTAACAGTCTTTATAAGTTGCCAGCTGACTTCTCACTCTTCAAACAACTGAAGACTTATGAATGTTAATCCAGCCTTGGTTTAAATGACATGTGGAGTTTTGTCTAGAAAACACTTTTGCCAATAATATAATAATACATAAAAGATATATAAACAATATAAAATATAATAAAACAAGCAGTAATAAAAATCTTAAATTGTACACATAAGATAGCTAAAGAATCAAAAGCATATCTTTTATATATATTCTAGTCATCTTGATTTGCTTTTAGCATACAGAGACTGGGAAGATTTTCTGTTATCAAATACCTATTGTGAGGGCCAGGGGTTTAGCTCAGTGGTACAAGCACCTGCCTGGCAAGTGCAAGGTTGTGAGTTTGATCACCAGTACCAAAAAAACCAAGCCAAAACAAACCAAACCAAAACAAAGTATCTACTGTATGCAATACCCTCTAGGTTGCCCAACTGATGGATCAATTTAAATATTAGTCATCAAGGGGAAACCCAAATCCAAAAACATTTAAGGTTAGTTCCATTTAGGCAACTGTCCCGAAAACTGTATCTTGTTATTTTCCAAAGAAATTCAAGCATGTATCATTTTGGGGTTGGTTCTTAATTTTTATTTGTTTCTATCATTTGTTTGGTGGCCTGACTTTGGATTACAATCTTCACAATTATCCCAAACCCTGTTAGACAATGAATACTAGGTAAATAAATGGTAGGAACAAGTTTTATTTGTTTTGCTTTTAAATTATTTCCTTTCAGTTCCTATTAAAGATTTTCCATTTGTCAGAAAGAATTTCCTTGTACAAATCTTGTGTAGCGATTTTGGTATCCTGACAAATTGCTCTGAATTATTAACTACAATATGAATCACCCAGTCAGACAATCTGACTAACCGGATATTGTTTTTTGGTTTTGGACTCTTACATGATCCTTTTAGTTATAGTTCAAGGGTATGAGCCGCTTTTCCATGCATGTAAAGCTCTGTGGAGAAGGGGCATGGTCTTTGTCATTCCAGATACATCTCATTTTCTGCTTTTTAACACTATCTCCTTTTAGATCTTTAGAGTATCTCTTCCAAGTTCTAAGACTTGTGAAGGTTTCTGCATTTCAATGTTAGCATCTTTAAATCATTTTATAGTTATCCCAAAACCCTAAGCATTTTCCTAGTTAACAAGAAAACCTCAATATTTTGATATATTGTGTAATCTTTCCATAGTTTTTGATTTTAGAGATGAATTCTTTTCGCTGAATATTTGGAATCTAAGAAACAACTTACAATTCACTCACTGGAGCAGAAAATTTATGAAATTAGCATTTCGTTTTCCTTTTATGAAAGGTAGACTTTGTTTCCCTTGATATATTTACTTATTATGTTGTTTTTTGCTCAGAAGGAATTCCCAGTATCTAGTCTGACAGACCAACAGGTAGAAATACAAACAACACAGTAACTGGAAAACAGTTTGTCAGTATACCTGAATGATACACAGCCAGCCAAAGTGAGTGTATACCACACATCTCTCTCTGGTTTAGGGGGTCTCAGACATTTTGTTTTTGTACCAAAAAAAACAAAACCAAAACAAAACAAAGTATCTACTGTATGCAATGGATGAATGAAAGAATCCATTTGGATGTAGATAATTGTAACCGTATAAAATATTTCCACTTAAAGAATTAGAAAATACTGCACAATGGTAACCATTTTAGATCACCTGATATTCTACTTTTACATCATGTACTATGCCCATCCTTTTGTTCTAACCTGTTCTAACTCTGTTTTGTTTAGCCACTTTAGGTTTTATTCTCTCCAAAAAAATAATAAGAATTGTGGGAGTAAAAAAACCCAAAAAGTGTAATTATTATTAAAAAGAGAGGAAAGAAAGGGGGTCTCAGGGATATAACTGCATGCATGTTTGAGCGTGTAGGATGGAAATCCATATTACTGAACTTTTGTTGGATCATTGATCGGCACTGTCTGCAATCTCATTGTATGAATGTTCACTTTATATGCTTTAATTTTATAATTTGGACAACTGTTTCAAAGATGACAATATGTAACCTATTAACTAGTGATATCTTACTGTATTTTTTTCTTGAAATTCTGTATTATTTGTATCCTTTTACTGCTTTGTTTTTATTTTATTTCCTTTTTTTCTCTTTAAATAAAAAAAAGAATTAGAAAATATTAAAGAGTAAATATACTTACTTCCTGTTTAGTTACTTTGGATCCTTCTTTGCCCTCTGTATTCTCTGAAGACTAGAAGGAAAATATTTCAGTGAATTGCATTTAAATTGGAAACCATATACTAGAAAATTAAAACACATAAAACTATTTTGATAGTTGATAGTTGGACCAAATATAATCAACAGAAGTTTTGTAGGTAAAAATGTTTGTGAAATGGTCCCCCAGCATTTAGCTACATAACTGCTTTACTTTTAAAATACAAATGGCGAAAGAACACAGTTG